CTTTAATTTTATTTTTTAAATTCTGCTATTTTTTGTATTATGCTTAACTCTTACTGACCATATATTTCTGTATCTTATTTTTTAGCCCAATTGAGGTCTGTATTTTTTTAATTTATTTTTAAGATTTATTTAGAGAGAGAGAGAGAGAAAGTGCAAGTGGCAGGGCGGGGGAGGCGGGAGAGAGAATGGCAGATAGAGAATACTAAGCAGGCTCCACGCTGACAGTATGGAGCCTGATGCAGAGCTTGAACCCACGAACTATGAGATCATGACCTAAGCCAAAACCAAGAGCCGGACGCTTAACCAACTGAGCCATCCAGGCACCTCAAGGTCTGTATTTTAATCTACATTTAATTCATTCCATATATTGTCTTTCTCATATTCAAACCATTTTGGCCAACATTTTTCATGGTGTCTACATACCATCTTGTTTCTCCCTGTCCTCACTCCCCCATTCTTTTCTGTTCTCTGCTAGATTAAGTTTTATACTGAAGATTTGAAATGTATACACTGTTTTTATTCTCCTAGTATATTAGCAGCTATACTTACACTTATATTTTCCTGGCATTTTCTTAAGTTTATCATTATAAGCATCTCAACAAACAAGGCATGTTCACCACTATTAACAGTGCTAATTCACCATTTGGAGTTGGGAGGCTGGTGGTGGTGGGAAGAAAGCCCCCCAGATCTGAGAATCTCTAGTATAACAACATGTACTTCTACTCTGCCAACACTCTTTTTCTAAAAAGATCTTCTACTCAGGTATAGAGGGAATGTGAAGGGAGAAGAGGGTGCTCAGAAGCTAGACAGGCCATCTTCACAAGCTCACTTGAATACCACACCCATGTTATACTGCAGCATCTGCCCCCACCACTATGCTACCAGGCGAAACACTGCTCACAATGGTAATGAAGCAATGATGCACCTACAACAATGGGAGAGAAACAGTCACTGAAAATTATACCAAACCACCATACAATGCCAAATCCTCCTTTATTCTGAGTTGTTTCATACATACACATATATTCAGATTTCTCATAGGGAGGCATTATAGCCTTATGATCAAGAACATAAGTTTTGGAGTTTCAATTGATCAGACTCTGAATCCCAGGCAGGAAGTCATGTAACCTCAACCTCTCCAAGCTTCAGTGTGCCATCTATATTATGTGTGCCATAAAATATTATGACAATTCTTATTTGCTAGATTACTGTAAGGATTAACTAAGAAAATGAAAGAAAGTATACACCCCTGCATGATACACAGAAAGCATTCAATGTTAGGTATTATCAGATATGTTTTTTAACTAGATGATCTCTCAAATGCACTCTAGCCTTAAGGATGTATTACTAACTCTAAGTATGCTGTAAGGATTAACTAAGAAAATGAAAGAAAGTATACACCCCTGCATGATACACAGAAAGCATTCAATGTTAGGTATTATCAGATATGTTTTTTAACTAGATGATCTCTCAAATGCACTCTAGCCTTAAGGATGTACTACTAACTCTAAGTATGCTGAGGAACTCAAAACTCTAGCCTGAAGAGCACAGCATATTGGGGCACTGGGTTGGGAATGCAAAGCAGAAGCTGCATGTCAAACAACAGTGCCCAAGCTCCAGTGCCTGAACCTACTAGAGCCAGGGCAGTTCTTTACTTTGTGCTGGATGCTGAATCTCTACCTATGAAAGAAACACCATTTCCTATAAACTGTCAGTAACAAATTGATGGATGGTAACATTCACCTACAATAAAAAGAACTCTAGGAGTGTCTGGGTATCTATCATCTAACTCTCGATTTCGGCTCAAGTCATGATCTCAGAGTTTGTGAGATCAAGCCCTCCACCAGGCTCTGCACTGAGCATGGAGCCTGCGTGGGATTCTCTCCCTCTCTCTCTGTCCCTAGCCCACTTGTGTGTATGGACACACTCTCTTTCTCTCTTTCAAAATAAACAAACATTTATAAAAAATAAGAAATAAATAGAATTCTAAAATTAAATGTTCTGGAGAAGAAAAAATAGTACTACTTTGAGGCAGTAAGGCTTCCATTATTTTAACATATTGGTAAAATCAGCTCTGCTGAGAACTCAAACAAAATAAATTCACTGTAAGGTCCATGGTATGTTATCAAGACTTAGAAACAAGAAAGTGGGCATAAAATAGAAAATGTCCTGAAAATATTATAACCAATACTGAAAGTCCCAGGGTACCAGTAAGACTGGCCCCCAAGTGCCAATCAAAAGTAATGTGCTAATTTAAAACTTCACGTAACTCTCAACAATAAAAACAAAATAACAATCCGTATCTTGACTAATCCATACCATTAATCTGAGGATCACATAAAACAACAGAGATCAAATAAAATAAAAGTGCTTATAAACTGCTTAATATTTCCTTCTAAATTCAGAGGAGAGCTACATAATTAAACATCTATTCTAGCCACAAAAACCTTAGGAAGTTGGTACTATTATTAGCTTCATTTACAGATGAGGAAATGAAGGATTAAAGAAGTAAAGTAATTCATCCAAAGTCACATAACTAATGAACATTAAGGAGTTGCATTTCAAATATAGGTCTGACTCCAAAGCCCATGCTTTTAACCACTGTGTTACTAAATCCAAACCACCTCTGTGAAGGTCAATAGATTAGAAGAGATGTTCATAAAACAGGAACAATTCCAGAGAGACTATATATATTGTACACTGCCCAACACAAGAGGGCCTCATTCCCTGGACCATGAACAGGGGAAAAAAATCAGGTCTTTTCCCATACCCCATTTTTCCTTTTAAGGATTTTTTAAAATGCCTTGATCCATGTTCCTTTTCATACGTGCTTATTTTAGTGATGTGAGAGATCAAAGCTGCAGAAATGAGAACAAGATCAGTTAAGAGCAAATTATAGAAAATATGTGAGAATTTTCAAAGAACTAGTTCAAACTGCCTTTTATTGGGCTCTCATGAGAAAGATTCCTTGGAAAAAGTGACCCTGGTCAAATGTCACTAGAGTAATTTGAGGGAAAAAAAAAAAGAACATGCTAACAAATAGGCATATCACATTAATATAATCATCCTAGACTCAAAGGACATTAGCCTTTGCACTATCATCCTTTTGGATGAGATGATCATTTTTTAGCAATTTGTCCTAATAACTTATAGGGGTTATCAATGAACCTCATTTACTTCCGCAATGGCTAAAAACAAATATAAGAACCAGTCAAGAATGACCACAAATATAGTCTTTACTCTCTATGGTATAAAAAAAAATCAATCACAAGCCCATCTGTGTGAGACCTAGCAAATAAGAACATTATTTGAGAGGGTTACAAAGAAAAGGATGGATTGTCAAGAGGAAAAAGTAATTTATTAGACTGTGACAAGCTTTTAAATGTTTGCATTATCATTAACCAACTGCCTGGTTCTCTGATTCACACACCTGCCACCACCAGCCAATGCTATCACAGTAGCAAACGTGGACGTAGGCTCACCTCTAAAACACTAGCACCCTCTTCTGACCCTTTTGCAGTACTGCATGCACACCAGTTACTGGGGTGAAAAATTCTAATAAAGCCATAAATTAGTAACTTTGCAGGTAATATTTTCCAGATAATTCTATATTTGCAACTCCCTAGATGAACATAAAATTAGCTTCATAAAAATATGAAAGAGAAGATCTTCTAAACAAAGTTTATGCTAATGAAGAGAAAACCAACTGTGTTCTTTTACTATTTTCAGAATTATATATATCAACTGATTTTATTACAATAGCTATAATGATGACAATAACGAAGAGACAAGACTTTACTACGTTCCAGGCACTAGGCTGATGAGGCAGACACTCCTATTCTCGTCATCTTAAGATGTGGGGAAAGTGAGGCACAATGAAGTTAAATAACATGCCCAGGATCATGTACATGAGAATAATTGGTAAAGCTGAATTTCGACCCTTGAGCCAAAACCTAATTTTATCCAAAATATCCCTGTGAGGGAGAATGAAGCTGAAACCATGATAATATGAGACATGACTGAAATAGAAACAGTATAGATTGTAAGGATAACTACAAATATATCATCCAAATCCTTCATTTTCAACAAGGTCCCAAACTGTACAAAAATAAAATATTACCCATTCCTCTTCACTTGAAGATTCTCGATCTTCTGGGTCTATGTTTTTATGCCTTCTTTTTACTCCTAATTCCTCTTTTCCATCTAACTATGCCCTTATTTACCTACCTGGTTCTTTAAATGAAAACGAAAACAACTAATCCACATTGTCAGATTTATTTTTCTTCTGTAAAGAACTACTTCCCTATTTCTACCTAAATTCCCTATTTCACTACATCTTTAAAAACATATTTAAGATAGTAAATCAAAACATCCTCAATTCCTTCTCATTAATCATTACAAATATAATAGACTCTCATCTGTATGGAATTATTTAGGACATTCCTACCTAAAACTAGGGTTGAAAAACTAAATAATCTAAGATTTCTAAAAATACTAACTTTATTTTCAAACAGGATATGAAGGCACTTTGTCTAATGATGTATAGTTCAAAACAAGATCTATCTAAAACACTTCTAGATTCCGCAGTTTGCCTGCATAAAGCTATTCATTATATCAAAAATTAAGAACACTTGATAATCTAAACACTGGATAACCAAGCTCACTGTCATTCATGACTAGAAGATTCATATGAGTCAGAACAAAACATTCATTTAGATTTCTTTTTTACAACTATCTTTACATTTCAAAACGTTACAAGTACAAACTTAGGGAATGTTTAAAGAATTAAAAACATATAAACTGCATCAGATTTAATGTGTTAGATCTAAGAACAATTGAAACAAGATAGTTACATTTTTACTACAGTCACTTTCACACTGCTAAAGAATCATTACATTATTCGTATCTCCCAAATCTAAGTAAAACAAAAACAGGACAGGTAACACACATGAAAAGGCGCCAAGGAATTGGCTCCCTGAAAATTGCAGAATTCATTTTACCTCGGTCTGTAGGATGGCAGCCCTTTGTTCTTTAGCAGTCAAGGACTCCTTCAGCACTTCAATGTGTTGCTTACTGTCTGAGAACTGGTTTGTGAGTGTTTCTAGCTTTGTCTGTAGAGCTAGTAGTTCCGTGTCCTTTCTGGACAGCTCCTGCTTCACCTGACCAATCTAGAGGGAAAAAAAAAATAGAACATTGTAAGTAAAAAAGAAATGAAACCACCACCTCTGATCTGAATCTTTCTGACAGATCTGAGTTACAAAATATGAAACTAAATATAGCATTAGTTTTATGACAAAACATAGTTCGTCTTTTTGCATTATCTAATCTTGGATAACCACCCACCACAAAAACAAAAACAACAAACAACAGGTTTTCAACAAATAGGGATATTCCAGTTTTCAATTATTGTGTTTCCTAAATACTCTTCAAAATCCATTAGAAAAAGAACAGAAAGAGAAAAATCCCAGTTCAGTTAGACTACTGTGAGATAGCAGGAAGCACCTGAATACTACTGTGCTGATCAAACAGTTTTCATTTTATTAAGTCAGATCTCTTAAAACATAAAGCAGGATTAGTGTAGATGTAAAGCAGAAGGAAAAAAGAGAACCTCCTACCATTGCTATTTAAATTGAATCCAAAAGCTGCTGCTATTATACTTCTTACTTTTTCATTCATAAACAAAAATTTACATAAAATCCTTATCTTAAAAAGCCACCATTAGTGTTTTAAGGCATTGTAAACCTTTGCCTTTTAGATATCACGTAATTCTGATGAGTTAGGGATATTGACCTAAAAAAAGATTCCACCAACAAAGTTCTATCATCTATAACATGTCATACCAACTAAATGGATAAAAGTATATGACTTAAATGCATAAAAGCTCATCTTGTAAGAATCTACATGTATAATTTGAATCTGAATTATTCTGACAGTAATCCGTTAAGTCAAAAGATGCCCATTCATTCTCCCATAAATTTCTCATCTTAACTTTAAAAAATTTTTATTTCGAACATCACACTTGCATCTAAGAATTTTCTAAATAGTCTGTTATTGTAAACGTACCTCAAATAAACAAAAATCAGAATTGCTTTTACATTCTATCTAAGTGCCTAGCAAGGTATCTAGCTGCGCAATAACAGATTAATGACTGGAAGTATAAATCTGACAAGAAGTCTGTAATTTCAGCAGTACTGATGAAACGAAAAGTACTTTGTATTTTTTTACATTGGAGATATCTACAGATTCTTTACTATAATGATCTTAAGGTATAAAGGACAATTTTGAGAACAGTTTAACATGAGGAAGTGTGAAATAAATACTACTTTAATTAAAATTAGACTTTTGGGGCACCTAAGTGGTTCAGGCAGTTAAGCGTCTTGACTTTGGCCCAGGTCATGATCTCGCCATTCATGAGTTTGAGTCCCATCATCAGGCTCTGTGCTGACCTATCAGAGCCTGAAGCCTGCTTCAGATTCTGTGTCTCCTGTGCACTCTCGCGTGCGCTCTCTCTCTCTCTCTCTCTCTCGTTCACTCTCTCTTTCTCTTTGTCCCTCCCCTGCTTGTGCTTTGTCTCTCAAAAATAAATAAAAATATTTAAAAAGTTAAAAAATAAATTAAAATTAGACTTTTAAGGAGCACTAAAAATTAATTTCTAATTTACTCTTCTTGTTTAGCAAAAAGACAAACCTTTTTCTCATATGCATGAAAATCCTATTTGCAGATTTAGTTATTCATTCATTCAACAAATATTCTCTATGCTTACTGTATGCAAACTACTATAGGATATTAAGAACATCATTGGAAGATGACTGTAAATGGCAGCTATCTTCATCCTGTAATACATATATGTACCCTGGAGTTACCATGTACTGTAATGCTGTGGCATCTTTCATGACATCCCTTTCCCAACAAAAAACATACATTAGTATTTTTCCATCCTTAACATGCAGGTTGCACTAAAAACACACTTACTGTATGAATGAATATTCAGGAGAAATGTTTAAAATGTTATCACTTCCTCAACTGAAGAACTATTACAGCTTAAAGATTACTCAAATTTCCAACTACTTCCAATCACATGATTAAAAATAAATATAAAATCCCTGTTTCTTCAGGGATTTTAAATAATTTTTAAATAATCTTCAAATAATATTATATTGACCATAAAGACTGAAAAAGGAAAAGACTGGAAAACATAGTTTAGAAGTAAACACTTCCCATAAAAGTTGGGAACACAAGGCTTTGCAATCACACCTGAGGATAAGTATGTCTTTGAGTAATTACCTCTCTAAGTCTTGTTTTCCTAATCAGTAAAATGGAGAGAGTAAACCAATGTTACTGTTTTTAGAGATTAAATAAAATAATGTATGGAACGTGCTTAGCCTGTTGTCTGACACAACAAAGAAATATTTGTAATAGGCAAGAAAAAAAAGTTACAGATCAACTACTCCTCTAGGTAACAGTTACCATAAACCAAAACCAAATTAGTTCCTTTCAGACAAAATATTTCACTTTAGTATCAATATTATAAAGTGGTCCACAAATAGCAAAAATATCAAATTAGCACAAGTTTTGTTCTGTTTTGTTTTGTTTTTAATGCTGCATTCCTGTCTTATCCCACAATTATTTTCAGGAGCAGTTTTCTCCTGACATTTGTGTGACATATGTGCACATGGCCTAGCACAGAGCAGTGGGTGGACAGAAGAGCAAAGGTTCTGGAATCAGACTGCTTATGTAAAATCAAACTCTGTCTCTTACTAGCTCTATTTCTTTCTTTTTTTTTTTTTTAATTTAAATTTTAGTTAGTTAACATACAGTGCAATACTGGTTTCAGGAACTAGTTACATTTCCGAAGCACCACTCTGTCACCTCAGTTTCCTCATCTATAATTTGGGGTTGATGATATACCTACCTTAACAGGTTATAAATACTTGTGTGTTAGCTATTTTATTACTTTATTATATTTTGAAATGAAATTTTGAGTTCTTTAAACAGAAGATTAAACTAGATTTAGAGACTTTAAGTATGTTTCATGTTAATTCTAATTTACTGGATAACTCTACGTAAGCAAATCACTTTCTACACATCTGTTCTAAAAAACATAACATCTGTTGTAAAATCACCTAATGGAGACTTAAAGAATAGATATATGAAGTTAAAACATGTTACTCAAGAACTTCAAATTTTAGGAGAGTCGATCTTAAAAGTCCTCATCACATGAAGAAAATAAAATTATAACTATGTATGGTTATAGATGTTAACTAGACTTATTGTGGAGGTCAGATAGACAGATAGATAGAAAGATATAGATAGATCTCAAATCATTATGTTGCACATCTGTCAATTACACCTCTCTTTAAAAAAAAAAGTCTTAAATTCAGATAAACACTACAACCTAGAACATCTGCATATTCTTATACCAAAGAAGAAACAGAAATCATCATTCATTTAAACAGCATGTATCTACAAAAAGAAAGGACTTGAGAAAAAACAAGTTTTGAAGTACAATCCATACAGTGACAAAAGCAACAATAAAGAACCAGATATAGGGCTTCCAGAACATGTGAAGGCTCACTGCACACAAAGTGACATATGGGTCAAACTGGTAAACACGAGTCAGTTAAAGAGCAGAGCAGGCTGGTTAGTGCTAGTATGGGGCAAAGCTGCCAACCAAAGAGAATGAAAGTGTAAGCCACCCAGAAGCCAGAGCCAGCAGGGTCCCACTGTGGGATCACTGCACACAAAGAATAAATCTTACGGCAAAGACCTCAGCCTGAAGACCAGCCGCTCTCTTTTTCAGCTCCTCCCCTTGAGCCTCTTTCGAACTTAGCTCTTCCTTCAGTTGCTCTACCTGTCACGACATTGTTATTCTTTTTCACTTATGTGTCCATTTAGGTATTATCTGCTTTTCAGCCAGAGCAGTAACTGGAAATAACAATAACTTACATAACACAATCAAATCTGCTCCCTCAATTCCCTCTTCAAAGTACCCTAGATGGTTTCTCTATTTTCACAAGGTTTTTTAAATGGACTTAAATGTTTCCATGTCCATCAGCACATGGAAAGCAGAAATTACACTGTAGCATATTTTGTTTTCAAATTATGGTGAAAAATACAAACTAACAGAAAGTTGGATATGTGAATTTTTAAGTTCTAAAATTAACATAAATTGTCAGTAGTCACTGATAACAGATTCTTAAAATAATGAAGGAATATTCTACAGAGTTTTATGCCAGGTATGGATACCACAGCAAGAAACCAGAAATCAGAGAGGGAGTTAGAACAATGGTGTATCATTCCTTTACAGTTTTCTGTTCTTATAAACTGGGGAACTAATACAATTGGGATGTGGGTGGTACTTATTTTCTCTAATATTTTATAATCACAAGTAGGTTTTTAATTAAACCAAAATAAACATGGCAAATTGATACTTGTAATAAACTAGATCCTCCAATTTGCCTAAATAGGTATAGAATCAAACTAAATGGCTTTGGAGCTAAGGAAAACATATGGACTGACATGTCTCTCTGGTATGTATCTTACTGGAGATACATCTGAAGTACACATGGGAAAAAATAAACCTGATACAAATGGATCTTTTCTAGGGAATGGACCAAAGGGCCTTTCATTATGGAACTGTATTTGAAGGGAAAACAATGATTTAGGCCATTTCGGGGCGGGGGCGGGGGGGAAGGTAGGAGGACTGGGTTCAGTCTCTCAGGGTTTTGACTTTTAAAATACGACTACACAAGAGGCAAAGAACTTGGCATCGCATATGAGAAAAACTCAATTTGATGGAATTCTATTGAATCACCTCTGAAGTACTGACAGATATAAATGTTAAACAATACATATCAGCCTCATATGATGAATAATTTCCTTTTAAGGGAAAACTTGAAATAACTAAACATCAGTAATTCTGACTTTAATTCTGGGAAAGTTCCATTGGAAAGAATTATAAGTCTTCTTCCCTGAAGTTTGATAAAACAATGTGAGGTTCTGTATCATCACTAAGGAAACAAATATGCATCAGTTTCTCAAACCTCTTTTAAAAATTATAGTATTACACATTACCTTATTTTTCATAAATTTAGAATGGCTCCGATAGACCTCCATTTGTTTCATTTCTTCCTCCCGTTCTTCAGTACTCAAGGCCCCATTTGATTTCAGCATCTGAATTTCCTCCTCCAAGTCTCTGAGTCCACGCTCCATAGATGAAATTTTTGAATCCTGAAGACAATGGAAGATTCAGACATTAAAGTATTCACAAAGAATCACAGAAGTTTAAAATCTCAGTCTTTACAGATGTTGAATTTAATAAAGATAAATAAATATTCAGGAAAACTGCTGTCTAGCAACTGGTGTCTTGCTTCTAAATTATATCCTTTATGGCCACTTGGGTGAAAGAGAGCTCATATCTATAAAATGATTTTTCCTCTCTTCCTCCAGTCTGCACCATTTTGTTGAGAGTATTAACCATAAAAGTAAGCTGAAAAAAAACCCCATAAGCTGAAAGTATTAACTTTAAAGGAAGCAATGGAAGTTAAAGTTTCTTTGTACTACATGGTCAACCAATTTCTAATGAAAAATTTTGTAGTATTAATAGCAAAACCGTTCCTTGATACTCTTATCACTACACTTTGTGATCCCTAAAAGGCTTATTTCTGCCCTCAAAAGGAGAACAGTAAAAGTGCTTTGAAAATTTATACAATAATGTGTATAACTATATTTACAATAATGAAGATTTTATAACATCCCACTGTAAAAAAAAAAAAATAAAGGGATGAGTAATTATACTAACAATTAGAGTTTATCATATTACTTAGTCTCTATAGTTCTCTATACATTTGAGGTATCATAATAATTTTTTTAAAAAATCACTGTCAAAAAAAACAAAAAAAAATTTAAAAATTAAAAACTCACTGTCCTTGGGGAGCCTGGGTGGCTCAGTCGGTTAAGTGTCCGACTTCACCTCAGGTCATGATCTCACAGTCCATGGGTTCGAGCCCCACATCAGGCTCTGTGCTAACAGCTCAAGGCCTGGAGCCTATTTCAGATTCTGTGTCTCCCTCTCTCTGCCCCTCCCCTACTCGCTCTGTCTCTCTCAAAATAAAGACATAATTTTCTTTTAAATAACTGTCCTTATAAATCATCATCACAAGTATCATCTCCCAGTAGAACATTATTCTATGTTCAATTTCCTGGGGTTGTTTTGTCACAGTATCTAGTTTACCTCCAGATTAGATGTCATCAATTACAGAAAGATCACCTTAAATGACAATTACAGAAAAATGCCTACAAAGAATGAACACTTTTATATCTAGAGTTGTATACGTTTATTTGCCTAAGAAATAAAGAAGTAGAACCATATTTTATGTAGCTTTATTTTATTTGGAATTTTAGAGAAACTACTCCTTTAGAAAGTATTTTGAAATTACTTCCTTTTGCACTCTACCTCAAAGATTTCTTGAGTGACATTCCACGCTATCATAATTCTTAGAGCATGCAGATAAAAGTTAAAGGATTTATCATGAGATGACAACTAGTGATTTTTAGGTTCAGGGGAGAGAGGGAGGACGTTACTCCATGTCTTGCACTGCATTACCTCTAAAAATATCACAACAAATCTACCATGTCTACCACAGCCTAAAATAAAAAATAAAAATGAAAGAAAACTTAGAGGGCCACAATCAATCTCCTGGCCCATAAAGAATAAATACAGGCATAACTTGAAGATATCCCAGGCTTGGCTTCAGACCACTATAATAAAGTAAATATCACAGTAAAGCAAGTTAAATAAAATTTTTAGGTATTTTCACTGTATATAAAAGTTATGTTTATACTATACCATAGTCTATTAAGTGTATAATAGCACTCTGGAAAAAAGTGCACATACCTTAATTTAAAATTATTTTATTGCCAAAAAATACTATCATCTGAGCTTTCAGCAAGTCATAATCTTTATGTTGGTGGAAGGCCTTGCTTCCGGGTTGAGAGCTGCTGACTGGTCAGGATGGGGACTGCTGAATGTGAGGTGACTATGGCAATTTCTTAAAATGAGGCAACAATGAAGTTGCTGCATCAATTAACTCTTCCTGTCATGAACAATTTCTCTGCAGCATATGATACTGTTTGACAGCATTTCACCCACAGTGGAACTTCTTTCAAAATTGGAGTCCATCCTCTCAACCCCTGCTGCTGCTTTATCAACTAAGATTAGGTAACAGTCTAAATCCTTGACTGTCGTTTCAACAATCTTCAAGGCATCTTCACCAGGAGTAGAGTCCATCTTAAGAAACCACTTTCTTTCCTTTCCTTTTCTTATGCTTCCGTAAGAAGCAACTCCTCATCTGTCCAAGTTTTAGCATAAAACTCAAAAAACTCAGTCACACCTTCGGGCTCCACTTCTGATTCTAGTTTTCTTGCTATTTCTACTCCATCTGCAGCTCTTCCTCCACCGAAGTCTTGAACCCCTCACAGTCATCCAGGAGGGCTGGAATCAACTTCTTCCAAACTCCTGTTCGGGTTGGTATTTTTACCTCTTCCCATCAATCACAAATGTCCTTACTGGCAGCAGGAATGAAGAATCCTTTCCATAAGGTTTTCAATTTACGTGACCCAGATCTTTCAGAGGAAAGCTATCTATGGCAGCTATAGCCTCACAAATATACTTCTTAAATAAGAAGACCTGGAAGTCAAAATGACTCTCTGATCCATGGGCTGCAGAATGAATGTTTTGTTAGTATCCATGAAAACAACAATAATCTCTTTGTACATCTTCATCAGAGCTCTTCAGTGAGCAAGTGCACTGTCAATTGAACAGCCATACTTTTAAAGGAATCTTTCTCTCTGTAGCAGATCCCAACAAGCAGGCTTAAAATATTCAGTAAACTACGCTGCAAATAGATGCGCTGCCATCTAGGCTTTGTTTACAGAGCACAGGCAGAGTAGAATCAGCATAATTCTTAAGGACCTAGGAGTTCTTGGAAAGATAAATGAGCGCTGGCTTCAACTTAAAGTCACCAGCTGTGTTAGTCCCTAACAAGAGAGCCAGCCTATCTTTTGAAGCTTTGAACCCAGGCACTGACTTCTCCTCTAGCTATGGAAGTCCTAAATGGCTTCTTCTTCCAATAGAAAGTTATTTCATATAGAGATGCCTGGGTGGCTCAGTTGGTTAAGCATCTCACCTCGGTTCAGGTCATGATCTCGTGGTTTGTGAGTTCAAGCCCCACGTCGGCCTCTGTGCTGACAGCTCAGAGCTTGGAGCCTGTTTCAGATTCGCTCTCTCTGTCCTTCCCCTGCTTGTGCACACAAACATGTACGCTCTCTCTCTCAAAATAAACATTAAAAACTTTTAATTAAAAATTAAAAAGAAGAAAGTTATTTCATTTACACTGAAAATCTGTTGTTTAGAGAAGCCACCTTTATCAATGATCTTAACTAGGTCTTCTGGATAATTTGATACACCCTCTCCATCAGTACCTGCTCTTTCACCTTGCACTTTTATGTTATGGAGATGGCTTCTTTCCTTAAACCTTATGAACCAACCTCTGCTAGCTTCAAACTTTTCTTCTGCAGCTTCCTCGCCTCTTTCACCCTTCACAGAACTGAAGAGACTTAGAGACTTGCACTAGATTAGGTTTTGGCTTGAGGGAACACTGTAGCTGGTTTTATCTTCTATCCAGACCATTAATACTTTCTCCATATGAGCAACAAGATAGTTTTACTTTCTTATCATTCATGTGTTTACTAGAGTAGAACTTTTCATTTCCTTCAAGAACTTTTCCTCTGCATTCACAATTTGGCTGTTTGGTGCAAGAGGCATGGCTTTTAACCTATGTCAGCTTTGGACATGCCTTCCTCACTAAGCTTAATCATTTCTAGCTTTTGATTTAAAGTGAGAGGCATGTGCCTCTTTTCACTTGAACACTTAGAGACCACTGCAGGGTTATTAACCGGCCTAATTTCAGTATAGTTGTGTCTCAGGGACTAGGGAGGCCCAACGGGAGGGAGAGAGACGGCAGAACAGCAGGTCAGTGGAGCAGGCAGAACACACACATTTCTCAAGTTTGCCATCTTACATGTGCACAGTTTGTGGCACCCCAGGACACTTGGAGTAGTAACATCAAAAATCACTGATCACGTATCACCAGGACAGTAATGAAAAAGTTTGAAATATTGGGAGAATTACTAAAATGTGTCATAGCAACACAAAGTGAGCAAATGCTGTTGGAAAAAGAGTGCCAACAGACCTGCTTGACGTAGGAATGCCACAAACCTTCAACTTGTAAAAAATACAGTGTCTGTAAAATACAGTAAAGTGAAGCACAATAAAACAAGGTATGCCTGTAAACTATTTTAATTGTACTCTCTGAAAATTCACCTTTAACATTACTATAAATCTTCCTAGAAAGATCAGGAAGTAGTCCATTAAGAATATCTAAAGGGACACCTGGGTGGCTCAGTCAGTTGAGCATCCAGCTCTTGACTTCGGCTCAGATCCTGATCTCACAGTTTGTGGGATCAAGCCCCACATGAGGCTCCATGCTGACTGTGCAGTGATTCTCTCTCCCCTCTCTCTGCCCCTCCTCCTTCCACACACACTCTCTCTCTCAAAACAAATTAAATTAAAAATAAAATAATAACAACTGAAATACTAGGCATATGCATGTGACTAACCTGCAAATGAAATGTGGTTTACCTCTGTCATTAATATGGGGAGGGAAGGATGGATAATAAAAGGGAGCCAGCAGAAAGAGGGAGTGTGTTTCTATCATCACTGGTGCTCCACACAAGACAAAATCACCTCCAGCGATGAACTCAAGCTCCATACATCATACAGCCAGCCTCTAACACTACAAACCTGCCATGAAGCCCAAGAAATATTATCCATCTTCTCCTCTAACTCCAACAAAGACACAGGGACACAGGGGCAGCTCTTGACCCAATCAGCACCCTCACTACCAAATCATATCCCATAAAAGCTTCTCCCCAAAAGGGACCAAATTGTAACTGAAAGTCATGAGGCGGGCACTGGCTGCCCAGATAAGAAACCTGTCAGGCTACTCGCTGAAATCAGGCCAGAAAAGTAATATCTGATATGCTCAACTAATTCTAGCACCAACTCAACCAGACTCAGACTGGGTTTATTTGAGGACAGTCCTTCCAACAAGGTTTCTTACTCCTACAATGTATAATAACTAAGTAAATAAATTCCTTACCATCTTACCACTCTATACTTCCCCAGCTCTGAGTCTCCCCATCATTAATCAGCCAATTCCATTAACCTACTGAAATCCTCTATTGCTTGTTAAATTTCCCAAATCCTCATCTTTTTTTTTTTTTTTTTCCAAAAGTTGTCTCCCTACCCCAAGTACAACCTGGCTTTCCCAAAGGATATAATTTCCCTGAACTCTCTCCAATGAGGGTCACTAATCCCCCAGTACCAGAAAGGAGCAGGAGAAAAAGTACAGGCAACATCCCGGTTCCTCAATGCTGCTCCCTTTATTTTACAACTCATACTCCTTTTAACTCTACCCCCTCCTCATTGCTGCCATCTATGAACTTCCCAATCCCTCCTGGCCATTTGAAAATGTCTTCAGCACCTGGCTCACAATCAGTCTTCGCTTCAAATGCCACTCCTGCCATCATCCTAGGATTTCAATGTCTGAATTTCAATGACCTCATCTACCAGTCCACTTCAGCTATCCAGTCGACAGGACTATCCTCTGGATCCTATCATCACCCAGAACTTTCTCCCCGGGCCTATTCCACCATCACCCTCTATTTGCCATTCTTCAAGCTCACAGAGATCTTAACTTCACTAATGGTCACATTTTCTCCCAACCTGTCAGTCCATTCTGAATTCTCTTCCTTTCTATCCACCCTAAATTCTTGGACTGACCATGCAAACTCCTCTCTCACCATCATCCTCAATTCATTTGCATCCCAATAATTCTGCCAGTATCTACCCAGCAAAACTGGGTAGATAACCTAGAGCAGTACAGTAATTCTTCCTTGTTCCTCCACTGAGAAAGGAAAAAGAAAAAAAAAAAAAATTAGAGGAGGAAGCAGAAGGGGAAGTGGAGAGGGAGAAGATGGGAGGAAGGAAGAAAACAAGAGAAGGGACGTGAAGGCAAAGATAGAAGGAAGAGGAGGAAGAAAAGGCAGTAGAGAGAGAAAAGAAAATTACATCCCCCTAAAGATAGTTGGGCTCTTTTACTGTCTATCAATCATCTTCCTTTCCCATTTCCCCCAAAGACTATTCTAGAGCTGCATAATTCTTTCAGGCTCATGTAATACTCTCAGCAACTCAACTATTTCAGCTATGATTTCAGAATAGCATCCCAACTAGGCCACCATTATGTCAGATTTGCTTAAGAGAATGGCTGAAAGTTAACGTAATTTAAAATAGTTCCACTGCCTATTAATTATTACACTTCCCCATTCTATCAAAAGGCAAATAAAAGAATTTTGGAAACATAGATATATTCAGGTGTTTTAGGCTTCAACAGGGCTCAGGAAATAAAACATATAAAGAAATTTGTGGGAAGTGTGAACATACAATTAAACCTTTCTAAAGACTCTTTACAAGATTATGTTCGAGACTACTAATTGTCTAACTATAAAGAACCCAGAGTTCCACTAATTCAGAATTTATTTGGTAAGTTCTTTCTCCAATGGAAATAAAGATAAACACAAATAAACAAAATTTTAAGATGAAATCACTTAAATTCAGAGAAAAGGTCTCATAACTATTCTTGAGAAGTATCTATCTACATAAAACTATATACTAATAACTAAATATTCTTGTCATACCACCAAATATTAAATAAAGGCCCACAAAGCAAAAACAGTTTCAAATTTTTTAGGGAATATGAAAAAGCTAACAGAGAGAGAGAGAAAGGACCTTATCTATAAATAGTCTTTCAGCTTTTGTAAGAAAGAATATATTGTTTAAACAAAAAAGAAAAAAAGAGTATGTTGTTCATAAAAATAACAACAGGAGCAGCAGCTAACAGGTAGTATTCAAAGTGTTTTAGCTGCTATAACTAAATCTCAAAACAACCTATGGGATAGCTACTATTACTATCACCTTCTATCCATAAAGAAATTCAGGCATAGAGAGTCTAGGTAACTTATTCTATTGTCATACAATTGATTCAAGTAAAGCCAAATTTTGTTTTTTGGGCTTTTTTTAAACAAATAGTTTATTGTCAAATTAGTTTCCACATAACACCCAGTGCTCATCCCCACAAGTGCCCTCCTCCATGCCCATACCTCCCTCCCCCCCAAGTAAAGCCAAATTTTGAATCCAAGAAATTTAAGAAGGCAAGCTCTTCAAAGTATGGTCCATGTTCTATGTTCTGGATCCCCCCAGACTGTTTCAAGAAGTCTGCAAGGTCAAAACTATTTTCATAATAATACCATGATTTTGTTTGCCCTCTCCACTATGTTAATGTTTGCACTTCAGGTATAAAAGCAATGGTGGAAAAAAACTATTTGTATCTTAGGACAACAGGCAATAGCACTAAACCTAACTAGCACTGACTGCACTCTTCAGTGTCAGGTACTCACAGAAAAAAAGAAAAAAATCAGAAAAAAACATTTTTTTAAGTAAGCTCTAGGCCAAATGTAGGGCTTAAACTCAAGACCTCAAGGTAACTCATGACCTCCAGGTCAAGAGTCGCATGCTCGACCAACTGAGCCAGCCAGGAGCCTCCAGAAATAAGAATTTTAAAAGACTACTTCCTTTGGGGGATCACTGGGTGGCTCAGTTGCTTAAGCGTCCAACTCTTGATGTCAGCTCAGGTCTTGATCTCAGCATGAGTTCAAGCTCCACAGTGCACTCCACGCTGGGTGTGGAGTCTACTTAAAAATTTTTAAAAAGACTACTTCCTTTGAGAATGTCCTTAATAAAGCAGTAAAAATTATTACTTTTAGTTAATCCCAAACCTTAGGAACACTTCTTTTTAATATTCTGTGTGATGAAATGGGAAGGAGCTAGGCATTTCTACACACTAAAGTATGACAGTAGTTCCTTAGAATAGCACTTGTGTGCCTCTGAATTGCAAGCTGTATTAAGTCCTTTTTTCATGGAACATCATTTTTACATGAAAAGAACACCTGACAAACTAGAGTAACTAGAGTAACTATTAGGCAGACATTTTCTAAAAATGAATGAATGAGCCTGTCATTTTAAGAGCATAACAAGGTCCTGAGATCAAAAGGTTTAAGCACAGTTGATTTAAAGAAATTCTGGACAGCTTTTTGGTCTCATCTGAGTTATGATCTAGAACTAAAATGGAATAAAACTGAAGTTCTTTTAAAGCGTCATTTCATTGTCTTACTCTTCTTAAATTTACAAAATAAGCAAAATATTGTTACATACCACTTTCTAAAACTCACATATGAAAGTGTGTAATCACTTCAAAGTGTAAACTGACTCATAAGCTTCTTTGGAAACTCTTACTTACCTTCATTTCAATAACAGTTTGCAGAGCTTTTGTTTTAGCAGAGTCAGGAGCATTCTCAAATCTCCGATGCATCTCCTATACAAGAGAAGCAAAAGAGAGTAAATGTCCTCCTTTCACTCTTATTTTTGCTCAGAGGGAGGGTAGGGAAGGACAGGGGAGAGGGAGTAATTGAGTAAAACAGAGTATGACCCCAGCCCTGTGAGACGCTCTGTTCTCTGTCTACCAGACCTTTCCCAGTGGATCAGAGAAGGCTAAGGAGGTGTATGCGTCAAATACACAGACACAAAGAGTCCCCATCTTAAATACCTAGTTACTTAAAATCAATCACAGAGATGACATCAGAACAACAGATGGAGACTACAGCACAACCACAGATTGGCATCCCAATCTCATTTATGTGACTCTAAGACATATAAATCAGAACTCCAAACAATCCATAAGGGAGATCAGAAATATTCTCTTTTTCAAAGGAGAAATAAAGGCAGTCACAATCAGTCTGCATTACACAAAGCTGCTTTTAGCGTTTGTGTTAACCACATCCTTTCCATAACATATACACCCAAGTAACAACCTGGCTATCTATGATGAAAATCTCTCCAACAGGGCAACAACTGGGAAGAAAAAAGTTCATGTTTATGTTTATAAAATGTCATAAACACAGCTATTCTTTTTTAATCTAAATTTTAGTAAGTTCAGAATCAGGAAGAAAGGAACTGATGGTAGTAATATCACATTCATGACCTTCAAGGGTTACAGCAAAGTTATCAGACCACCTCAGGCTATTATTTCCTGTCAGATTTTGTGAATGTCTCTGAGTTAATCAGTCAACATTTCCAAAGTACCCTGGGACAAACTCAGACCCCAGAGAATACAAAGATGAATATTTTCCATCTGAACCATACGTAATCATAATAAAAGGAATGTTTAATACTTAATTATACCTTTCACCTAATTTATTCCTTCTTGCCTGACCAGAAAGAATGGTTTGAGAAAAAGAAAACAGAACCATACCCTTCACTGAGTTACCTCTTTCTGAAACAAAGAAAGAACTGATAAAAGTTCTAAATCATAAACAGTTTAAACACCAGTATCTTCTTAACATCCACATTCACACCAGCTGGCTACAGAAAGTATAGTGCAAACCACTATTAATACATACCACTCTTTCTGACCACCCTTTGTGCTACTTTTCTCCCTAACTCCAGCCTTAAATATTCAACAAGGTATCCCATCCATATGTTTGTTAACAAACACCTCAAACTCTCCAGACCCAAGAGTAAACTCTTGGTGGTGCTCCAAAAGCTGTTCCATCCTTCCACTTAGGTGAAAACCTGATTCTTCTTAATGCCTTTCTTTCTCTTTCGAGCCAGTGAATCAGGAAATCCAGTTAACCTTCCCTTCAAAACACATCCAAAATGCAAGCACTTCTTGCCATTTCCACTGCTACCATTTGGAGAGAGCTACCAACAAAAATATATCTTTTAATCCAACAACAAGCTCCTAATTAGGACCCCTTCTCTTTATCTTGCTCCCCTACATTCTATTTCAACAGAGCACTCAGAGTAACCTTCTTGAATATAAATTTAATCTTGTCACTCTTCTGCTCAAAACTGTCATGGCTCCCTATCTGACTCAAAGCAGAGTCAAAGTCCCCTCTCAGTAACCTACAAGACCACATCTCTTACCACTCTTCCCTCAGTCACCACGCTTCAGCCACACGGGACTCTTTGCTGTTTCTCAAATATGCTAGCCATTGCCCTGTTCCTTAGGACCTTTTCACCAGATGTTCCCATTGCCTAAACTCTCTTTCCTGAGCTCATTAAGAGGACTTTGCCTCCTTCAAGTCTTGACTCAAATGTCTCTTCTGTATTATTAGGTTTATGAGCTGTGATAATCACATTGTGGTTATACAAGAAAATGCCCTATGTTTGACAGATGCATACTACATACATTGTGTAGAGGTAAATTACATCATGTCAGAGATTTTTTTTAAATCTTTGGTTAAAAAAAAAAAGAACAAAAAGCAAAAATAGGACACATGAAGCAAGTGTGGCAAAATTTTGGTAACTGGTATATCTGAGTGATAAGCATATGGAGATTAATTATGCTATTCTCATAAGTTTGTGTAAGTGTGAAATTTCTCATTACAAAATTAATTTTTCATGTTAGTGTAATGTGCCTTATTTGAAAACTTAAAATGGACAAAAAAGAACCCACATGTCCTTTCCCATTTACCTTACTCAACCTTTTCTTGTCCCATAGCATGTACCCTCTAACATATTTTATAATATATGTCTTATGTGTATTGTCTATTTTTCTAATTGCCTCTATGAGAATATATCCTCCACAAGGGCCAGGGTCTTTGTTTCATACATTGATGAATCCAAAGTGCCCAGGACAATAGCTGGTACATCAGTACGTGCTTCAGAGATATTTAAAGAATGAATGATGAATGAATAACAAATGGCTACCAAACTTTCAAGAATTAGCTAAAGAGGGGGGCGCCTGGGTGGCTTAGTCGGTTAAGCGTCCGACTTTCGCTTAGGTCATGATCTCGCGGTTTGTGGGTTCGAGCCCCGCGTCGGGCTCTGTGCTGACTGCCAGCTCAGAACCTGGAGCCTGTTTCAGTCTGTGACACCCTCTCTCTCTGACCCTCCCCTGCTCACGCTGTCTCTCTCTCTCTCCTAGAAATAAATAAAAAAAAATATTTAAAAAAAAAAAAAAAAAAAAAAAAAAGAATTAGCTAAAGAGGGAATCTTCTCATGTGCTGAATTCTGTACACCTCTTTCAACATAGCCCTCCTCTAACACTTATTACATTGTATTTGAAATAATCTTCTTCTCTAACATACCAGCCTGTAAACCCCTTCAAGGTAAAACTGCCTTTTGTATTCTAAGCACCGCCTGACATATAAGCAATCATTAAAAATGACACATCCATTCCTCTTTTGCTAGATGAAGGAAAGACTGAATAAACAAATAAATTATCAGCCAGTACTCATCTTCACCTCTCTATTGGACTTATCTCTAAAGCATCAAATAAAGGATCTCCTTATTTCTAAATTTAAGAGCTGTTGTCCATCCACATCTTTTCTGAACTCCATGTAGTAGCTGACTTTTCTTACTTAAACCATAGAAAGTTAAAGGGGGAATATCTTTTAAATTTCCAACTGTCTTCCATTAATGAATTATCCTAGCTATAAATGCTTATTCTCTGACCTTTCTTCTATACTAAGCACAGACATTTTCTAAATTCCATCCTTGGAACTCTTCTCAATTCTGTTGCCCCAATCCAGGGACTCCACTAGCCCACAGAGAAACTTAAAATGAATTAGAAAAAGCAACCCCTCTGGGGTAGATGTAACCTCACCATGAAGCACTGGTTGAGTTTTAGACCCCATCTGCTCAATCAGCAAGAAGCTCTTGTTTGGTTGAACAATGTACACACCAACCATACAAGGAAGCCCTTCCCCAATCCCACAGATTCAACTACAGTTGATCTCTGAACAACAAGGGTTTGAACTGTGATGGTCCACTTATTTTTTCAATAAATACAGCACAATACTGTAAATGTGTTTTCTCTTATGATTTTTAATGACATTTTCCTTACTCTAGCTCATTTATTGTAAGAATATAGTAAATAGGGGCGCCTGGGTGGCTTAGTCGGTTAAGCGTCCGACTTTCGCTTGGGTCATGACCTCGCGGTTCGTGGGTTCGAGCCCCGCGTCGGGCTCTGTGCTGACTGCCAGCTCAGAGCCTGGAGCCTGTTTCAGTCTGTGACTCCCTCTCTCTCTGACCCTCCCCTGCTCACACTGTCTCTCTCTCTCTCCTAGAAATAAATAAAAATATTAAAAAAAAAAAAAAAGAATATAGTAAATAATACATAACACAAAGTGTGTGTAAATCACTTATGTTATCAGTAAGACTTACAGTCAACAGTAAGATTATTAGTGAAGTTTTGGAGGAGTCAGACATTCTACACAGATTTTCAGCTACATAGCAGTCAGTTCCCAACCTCCTCATTATTCAAGTCAACTCTATTACCTCTCCATGGATGAGCTGGAAAATACATTTCTCTAACCTTGTAGTAGACATCTATCACTCTTTCTTGCCATGGTATCTAATATCCTTCTATGTTTGGAGATTTCACATCTTAAAACGAGAGTCCTCCTTCTACAAAAGAAGTTAAAAATGCCACATACTTTTCCCCAGGCCTTTCCTGCAGTTAGAGCCCAGACATAAGACCTAATCTCCCCAATCAGACACATATATCACTTACTTTGAATCAGAATCTTGTAACAGAACCAGGGACATGAATAGAACCAACTCTGTCAATGAGCGTCAGAGGCAGCAGCCACCCCAAGTTCTTAGTCTCAGGAATGGCAGAGGCTCCAAGGGTAGTCAGCAGTGAGCAGTGTCAGTGGTATCAGCCTTGTTTGCTGCTATGTTTGTGCCCTGCACCAAGAGTGCCACTGTCTAGACTAAACCAATAAAGGAACATGATGGACTTGAGGCAATTTTTTGGCTATATAACTCTGAACCCGGTCACTCCAGTGCTCCTAGAGATTCTGGAACCATCATCTCTTGCCTGGATTACAGCAACAGTCTTCCAAAGTTGATCTCCCTAGTAACACAATGGAAGACTGTTGCTTTAATTACTTTAATTAATTCTTTCTCTACCTCTCCATTCAAACAATTCATCCATATCACCAATGAACTCCAGGGTGCCAAATCTAGTGGACACCTTTCTGTCCCCATCTTCCTAGAACTCTCGGAGGCATTCAAAGCAGTGGGGCCACTCCCTCCGATACACATATTTTCTCTGGACTATTAAGACACCATACTCTCCTATTTTTCTTTCTCTCCAAGGGCTTTGTCTATTTCTTTTACAGGTTCTTCCTTCAAAATTAGACCCCTAAATACTAAAGTGGCCCAGTAACCAATCCTAAACTCTCTTCTTTTCCATCTAAACTCTCTAATCTACTACGCTGCTTAAAATTCAATTGAAATGCTAGTGAATTCCCAGGTCTTCCCTCTGCTCAGATTTCAAGGCTCATTTATCCAACTGTCCATTTG